TTTTTTAAAATGGTATTTTTGTAAAGTGGCAATTGAAAAGTGGCATTTTTTAAAAAATTTCATTAAATAATTAGTTTAATTTTCTTTATCCATGTTTAAGTACTTTTATTGGTGTGTTTATTTAATTAAAGTGTCCATTGAGAAGACTCAAGTGACAAAAGATAATCCACCAAGCAACTACTCCACATGTACGCGTACGCCACATTTTCATTTAAACCTTTTCTTTTACATTTTATTTATTTCCTTAAAACTTAACTTAACACTCAGAAAGTACTTTATAATAATTTTAGTTTCAAAGAATTTTATAAACAGTGAACAAAATTTAGGGTTTGTTGACGTGTTTATCACCTACCTACTTATAACCAAAAAAGCATGTCATTATCGTTTTAATTTCTCGAATTTAAATATAAATCGAAACAAATATGTAATAAAATCATCACTCTTGGAAACCACGTGATATTAAATTAAGAAATCACAAAACTAAAATTACCCATAAATGCATGCTGCTCCTAGTGGATAAAGGAATCTTCCTGAAAATAAACTATACTTGGACCAAATTTGAAAATAAATGCATGCTTTTGCTAGTGGACTTTTTTTCATCTCTTTATATTTCATAAAATTATTCTCTAGGTTGTAGTAATATGTCACACAAACTTCAAAGGCCATAGAAGAACCAGTGAAGCTACTGATTTTACCAAGCAGTGCCTTGAAAGCTCCATAATGTCTTAATCTGTAAACTCCAGCAACCGCAGATTCCGGTATAGATGAGAAAAGACTTTAATGCATCACGGAGACGCCTTCCAGCCATTGTAGTGAACTCTGAGTCCAAACGCTACGCATAATTAACAGTAAAAAGATTTGGATTCTGCACTTAGTTTTAGCTTCATTGAACTACCTCCCGGGACACTGAGGATGATTACTTGACCAATGCGAAGAATCTGAATCGGAAGAATCGAAGGTTGTCCACGTATTTGTCAGAACAAAACACAATGGTTTTTAAAATCTTATAAAGGAAACAGAGAATAGAACCACTCACCGCCCAATCATATGGTGTCAAGTAAAATAGGTTTTGGTTTTTGGCATTGGACCTGTTCAGGACCTGGAGTTTTTAACACATTACTCACTAGTCTCCAAAAGGCATTACCCTTAAAAAAAGAAGAGAGAACTTATTGTTAGAGAAAGAAAGAGGAATTAGAGAATATAGTTGAAAGGAAGCTTAATTTTACCTGATCATCTCCTTGTTTGAAATCAAAACCAAACCCCATTGCAGCTGAACATGTTTTAACCGTCTCATGCCATCGCCTGCTTTAGGAACTGTAACTTGAAGATTTGAGAAATCTATATAAGCACGTTGGTAACCAATCTTGCCTCGTAGCTTCTCTTTAGCTTCGTTAAAAAGTTCCACTGCCATTTTGAATTGCTTTTCTCCAATGATACGAGTACTCTCAAACTCATCAGGGTACCTACAAAAACATAATGAAGAAGAACACCAATCAGAAAAATTTTGGAGGCAGAGAAAAACATAATCATGATATATGGTCTATATATACCCGGGGCCACGGCCGTAGCACAATTCGTTCTTTCCATTGCAAGTACTGTGATTGAAATCACAAGGCAGTCCAGTGTCAATGCAAAACGTACCAAGAGTATTTGGACTCACATCACCACAGTTTGATTGACAGAATGCAGATACGAATGAAGCGTTGTTTCGTACTCGAACTTTAGCATCGAGTGGCTTTGCCACGCGCTTTCCTCTAGAGGACTTACTATAACTAGCTCCAATATCCAAAAGCCGACGAGGAATTTCTCTTGAGCTATCTGAAGTCTTGTTCTTCTGTTCATTTTGAAACCAATCCTCCATGAACCGCGCTGCAGCGCCTTTGTTATCTCCGCTAATCAATGAGTTAGTCCGGCTCATAGACGTTCCATGAGTTGCAAACCAGTTAAAGCTTCCAATAGGACCACACTGAGAATCAACAAACTTGAGTAGTGTCATTTCTTTATCAACATTATACTTATATTTACTCCTCTCATCTGCAGGATTGTTGAGATAAGAATTCGGGCTTCGATTCACACCAGCATCCAATAGATCCCCTAATTAT